AAAGCATTTAAAAATGCAAGTAGAAAAATTGGAACCACTTTTGGTGGAAAGGTAACAGCGTTCCATGCACCTTCGGCGTTTACTCATGCTGGCCACATGACCATGGAGATGTCTTTGGACAGCATTGGCTCTTCGGCTTTGAAATGGAGATGAACACCACCCCCTAGAGTCCAGAACAATTAGCACATATATGCGAGGGGAACATTTACCTTTACCTTTATCTATGATAGTTAATTGCTGCTATCCAAACTTCAGTTTCTACTCAAGCAAGACTGGAATCTAAATTAAGGACAGTTTCTAGCACCACTTTTGAGAATGCCAAATATAGTTCTAAAAATCTGGACTGTACCATGTCACACAGCCTGAACTTAAATAAAAACAGCAATTTACTCAAGGCAGAAAACAGTAGCAAGGGAAGGAATGGAAATCAACATCTCTTGGAAAGAAAACTTGCTTGGATAGGTGGTTTCACTTTAAACAAGAGTGCAGAAGAGAAGTCAAAAACCTATCTGAAGTTAGGCAGCAAAGTCAGGTCTGTTAGCCAATTCAAAGCCAGAGCTTCACCAGCAAGATTCACATGGATGACACGACACCCTAGAACAGGAGATCAAAGAGTTGTTACTAACAGAAACATGGATCAGGGCTGCATCTTAAATTAAGTTGCAGCCAGTTTTCTCTAATCAAGAAATTTATTCCTTGATTGCTTGGGAAGGAACCTCATTGAGTATCTTTGTTCTGTTCTCCACTCTACATGCTAAATCCAAGGGCTTGGAGCCATACTTATCATCTGACAACATCCAGTTGCCCTGATGGTGCCTGTATTTGATCAGACTCAGAATGGTTCAATGGTGCAGCTTCATCAGATTAAGAGTCTCAATCCTTGGCTATGATACCAAGTCCCTGAAAGAGTTTGATGATGGCAGACAAAATATTTCCTTAGTACGATGGAATTGCAAAATGGTCAAGGTACTCCTTTGCCAAGTTGCACAGGTGTCTCCCCTCTCATTGGCTTTGGCAAAGTATTTGAAGATGTTAACTTGCTCAATTGTGCAGTTGTAGATGGACCATCTAAGGGTGGTGAATCTTTTAGAGAGGATCATTATCAAACATTTTTGATAATTGATCACCAATTATTGCCTTGGCAACATTGGACCAGGACACTCATTAAATCACCTTATATTAGATAGCAATAGCACTTAGACTTATATATCGCTTCTCAGTGCTTTACAGCCCTCTCTGAGTGGTTTACAGAGTCAGCATATGGGCCCCAACAATCTGGGTCCTCATTTTACCAACCTCGAAAGGATGGAAGACTCACTCAACCTTGAGCCAGTGAGATCCAAACTGCCAAACTGCAGGCAGCTGGTGATCAGCAGAAGTAGCCTGTAGTACTGCACTCTAACAACTGCGCTACCGCAGCAGATAATAACATGAATGTCTGCCATATAGTAAGATTGGCATAAACCTATTTCCCAGTTTAGCGGCATGAATGTAGCTGGCTTCTAGTTGCTGGATAGGATAATTAATATAGAGGTTACCTTTATTAATAAACAGTCTGATGATAGCTGGAATATACTGTTAACCTACTGCTTAACAATATCTCTTCTTGTGCTAGTCAGGGGAATCTTATGAGTGGCTTGGATTAACCCAGGATCCATGACATGGGAGGCTTGGCACTAAGAGCTGATCTACTTGACAAGTTCAACCAGCTCTAGTATTAGCCATTGTTCACTTCTTGAGTCATGCATGACATTATTCTTTGCCTGCCCCCAATCCCTGCCCCCAGAAGGCAACCTCCACCTATCTTTTCCTGCTACAAATCTAAAGTAATGCATTCCAACTTAAGGTTTATTGACGTAAACTTGTTGCTCGTCATGCTTCATATCATGGCAGGCCACTCCAGGTACTGTTATGCACTGTGGTGGCAAGACTCCCTCCCAGTTGCTGGTCTGAGTTCCTTACCACATAATATTACAGGTTCACCAAGGGAATGGGGAAAAGCTGGCCTTTGTTGTTTTCTGGCTTTACCTATCAAACAGATAAATAATAGATCGTTTTTTAAATAAAAGATCAGATAAAGTTGGCAAGGATTCTTCTCCTCTCTATTCTAGCCCAAGTGATAGGGAAACATAGTTTATCTCTTTTCCTTTCCTTTTCTTCTCCAGTCTTGGAAGGATAAAGAAGCAGGAGAATTCACCAATTAGGGTTGTGGTAGACATGGTCCAGACAGAACATCAAGCCATTTCTCTGTCCAAAGCAAAGGAAGTGGTGGAGACCTGGAGACAATTTCTCAAGCTGGCTTCATTCCCAGTCAGTTTAGGCCGAGAAGTGAAACCATTTAAGGCTGCCGTATGAAAAAGTTCTAGGACTGTCTCTTTAAGAATCTCATCCTCCATAATGGCCATGAATGTCTCCAAGCTGACTTCTGACTTGGGAGACTAGGGAGTGCTCTTCTTTTGGAGCCATGGCCCCCATTTTCTCATCATTTAGCAGCCCCCGAGGCACCAGGGACTAGTTCCATGGAGAACTAGAGGACTGGAGGGTGTGTGGTTTCGTGTGCCACCTGCATCCCATGGACTGGGCTTCACTTGTTTGCTTGGCCCGGTTTCTGGCATGCTGCAGACCGGTGTCGGTCCACGGAGCAGGGATTGAGGACCCCAGATTTAGAACATGTGTAAAAATCCATCTCTATCAATAACAAGACAGCAAATGTTCCTCTTGAATATGCAGTGGACAATGTGTTGCTACTTCTTTTTGAGCTTTGTGATCTCAGGTTCCATTTTGTTTCATTTTAGACTCTAAAAGTCTTGTGCTATCTCTACTCAGCAGGAAATTGGGCACTGTTGGATTTTGGGAAGCATCACCTACCACCTAGCAAAGAGGATAAAGAAGCAGAAAGCCAAGACAATGGAGGTGAGCATATCCATTACCATAAGCCAGAACATTCTGGAACACAAATTATATATATCAGTGATGGCTGACCTTTTTCTCCTTGTGTGCCAAAATTATGTGTGCATGCACAACAGTGCACGTGTGCATGCCCACACCCAAAATACAATGCAGCCCCCCTGCGCATATGTGTGCGAACTCCCACACGCATGCTCCCTGTTTTAGGCCTAGCAGGCCTCCCTGAAGTCTCCTGGGACCAAAAATGGGGCATTGGGGGACACCCCTCGCGCTCCCCCTGCGCATGTGCGTGAGACCCCTCCACCCTCATGCATGCATGTGCTTCTCCCGCATGCGCTGCAGAGACCCAAAAATCAGCTGGCTGGCAGGAGGAGTGTGCACATATGCATGGTGGAGCTGAGCTGGGCGATGGCTTGCATGCCCGCAGAGAAGGCTCCATGTGCCACAGGCACAAACCTGTGGCATGTGTGCCATAGGTTTGCCATCATGGATATATACCTGTTGTGACTCAGCAGACGTCTTCTGTGAGTCTTTTCAGGATGTAAGGTCAACGATACAGCTGGGGCTCGTTAGTGGGGTTCTGGTGATAAAAG